GCAATCTGACTCTCCTTTCGAAAGTTATCGTGTAAACGGCCGGCCGGACGGCCGGACATACAGACCGATTTTAGTAGTGTACTCACTTTTTGAGTACACTAAAAATAGCTCCAAGAAATGCTACCAAAATTTTCGTCCGACAATAAACACTTTGAGTTCTCTTCTCCCTTCAAGAAGAAACAGCCCATCTGATGGCGATAGTGTGAAGCTACGTGTTTTTGCAGTAGGTAACCTCCAAAATTCTCTAACCTTCCTTCTTTTTAAGAACTTTTCTTCTATTATGATTACTATTATATCCGTTCTTAACGGATGATAAGAAAAAAATCCTGATTGATAAAGATATAATAAAATACTTATTGTGCCTATTTTTCATTATGTTCCAGGGTGGTGTGCTGAATCGGATATCTTCTTTTCAAGCTACGGAATATTTATTCGAAACAGCAATACAGCAAATGAACCCCTTCTTCGTCAACATCTGAGATAGAAACACACATATCATTAGCACAATTTATAAACATTCCACGTACATGCTCATACTTCTGAACTAGAGCATGAAATCGAGAAACAGGCCAAGAGCATATGATTGGGGAGACGTGAAACGAAGAATCACAAACCGTTTCACAGAGACATGAAGAAAGTCTAACTATCATTATCAAAAATAAAATACAGTGATTCTAGAAAAAAGAGGATCCGTGTCATGTGCACCAGTGTCCCGTATGGGTCAAATTTTTTTTTATTCGTCCAACTCGACCTGACTTGAGTTGGAATCTGTTACCAACCGCTCTCATTTTGCTCTCGAGAAAACCAAGCTTCTCAATTCTTGTTTCTTTCGTTTCTATGGTAGTTGAAAAAAAAAAAGAATCCGCTCCAAGCATTTCATCGATGTTTCGGAATTGGGATAGCACAACTATATGCTAGAATGTTTTCTTGTTTGTCTTTCTTTTCTTATGTATACAACATGCAATCTATATGAGACTATTGAACAAACAGAGCTCTCGTCATCCAATATGTTTGAAAGTTAAGAGAGAAAAATCGGTGGAGTAGAAGAAAAGATCATGCAATAAATAATTTCTTCTTCTACTCAGCTTTGCCACGCTCTCTTACAGAAATTTTAAAGGAAAACTATTTCGAGTACCTTTTTAATCTGAAAAACGTTCAGACTTCACATCCATTCTAAACTTCAAAAGTGTTTCATTAATCCGACCCGAGTCAAGTCGGACACTAGACAAATTACAAATAGCCTATGAGTCCAGTGTGTATCTTTTTTGCTATCTTATTGAATTGACAAGAATTCTATAACCAAGCTCAAAGCTCTACAATTTCAACTTGATTAATGCCATCAGACAAACGCTCTTCCGAAATTCATTCTAAACTTATTATTTTGTTATTGTTTGATTTACCTTCGAATGGAGGCTCGAGTAACATATTCTCTGGCATTATCTGCTTCAAATGAATGATATGAAGACCAGTAGCTGGATTGAATTGTGATTGCACTTCCATGCATGTTCCTGGCAGCATTAATAGTTCGTCCTCGTGATCAAAATATGAATGAGGTCGTACATTTCTAGCATTAAAGGCCTCGATGGAGAAGAGAGTTCTCGTGCCTTCAGTACCCAAATAGAGATCACTCTCTAACACAGTGAGTGTTGTAGTACAAGATGAGAAAGACCACCAAGTCACCTGAATTCCACGTGGAAATTCTTGACTAACATCTCTTTTTACTCCACGCCAGATAGTCTGTGAAGGTGCGCATCGTATTTTAACCACGGCGGTGAGAAAAAGTTTTAAGTACTTGAACCATGGTCGTAGATCTTCGCGATCTGCTGTCCTGAGAGTTTTATTGAGAATAGAATAAAGGCTTCTTTGTCCATTATTCCACTCCATCGTGTAAAGACATATTGAAGCTGATTCGTCTCGAGTGAGATCATCGGATGGTTTATCTGGAGTATGTTTAAGAGCAGCCGAAACATATGCTAATATATCAAAAATAAGAGGAACCAACGGTGTGCATGCCTCAGCAAGTGGAAGAAGTGGCTCTTGGGCATACCCAACAATAGGACCGAGTATTTTTGAATTTTCTGCATGTGGAATCAGTAGGCGATAATTTCTTCGTCGAACCTGTAACTCTTCACCGTCGTTCATGCGATTAAATTATTTGTTTGTTTATGAACTATTGAATATGTATTTATACGATGTCAAATAATTATATCTTGTGATATCTGTAAGAAAAGAAAAATTGACAAAAAGGAAGAAATGAATCATAATTTGATTCTGATTTTTGTTGTGCATCGATAAGAACTGTTATGTGAGCAAGGAACTTAATCCATGCTTCATAACTGAGGCAAATGAACAAAAGAGAGCTAAGAAGACGTATTCAGCATCACATAAGCATAGGATCTGTTTGAAAGAACATTTACCATTTTGTCATTATGAAATGTGCAATCGTAAAAAAGAAATGCATAGTCTATTAAAAAGAGGTACCGTGAGACTCCGTTAGAGGGCTTCCCAGTTAGTCACTATGTGAAAATCTTTAAGAATTTGTGACGAAAAGTTTCCCAATGGTGTGGTAGCTTTAGCAATCCAGCAATTGAAAATCATACACTACGAATTCTAGAAACCTATGAAACAGCTCCTAGTTTCAGAAGATTCTAAAGGTACTAAATATGAAAAATCAAACGGAATCAATATAAAAGTCTAGCAAACTAATAAGGACGCAATGAACAAACTATCG